CTTCCTTTCTCAGCATTCATGGCTTCTGGTGTTTCAGTCAAACCCAAAAATAAGTTTTCAGCCTATGTTGTTATGTTTCAATCTTTAAAATAATAAAATTTAGATGATATAAATGAAAATTGATAAGATTATTATAGGAGAGAAAATTTGAATTTTAAATATTGTAAAGTAAAAAAAATTCTTGATCTTTTAGTTATGTTGATGTGTTATTACCACATTCCATTTTTTTTTGCAAGAAATCCAGTATTCTATGTGATTACAAACTGTTTCAAGATCCATTTAAAACTAGAATTATACAATTGGTCCAGGAGAAACACACTGTAATTCTCTATGTAACAGTCCCAGCAATTCCAAGAAATAGATAAAAATAGATGGCTTTTTAAAAAGGCTGGGTTATACACATGACCTCAGCTAACTTCAGTAATTTTGATTATTGTAATACAAAGTATAACAAAATTATCTTTTTCTTGATAGTAATTTACTAACAAGGCAGTTGCAAAGTTTCGCTTACTTTTGTTATTATAAGATAGCATTAACATAAACACTTTTCATACTTAAAACTAAATCTGTAAGTAGCTACCAACTGTAAAATATATCTACTTCAAAATCATAATTTACTCAAATCATATTTTAATGTTAAAGTAAGTTGTAAAAGAATTACTTCAAACATATATGAACTTTATTTTTATTTATGAAATGAAGCCAGCAAAAAGTAGAATTAAGAAATAAATACACCAATTTTTCAATATATTACCATCTTCTACTTTTTCTTTGGGGGACAAGTTATTCAAATGCAATCATAAAACTTTCCACATCTATTCATATCCAGAATCATATAGTTGGCCCAGAAAAAAACACGCTAAACAGCATAATAAACTAAAGGTTATATACATTTGAAAAATAGTTCCAAAGATGGAATACTGGATAAATAACATTAATTCTTGTTATTCTGTTACAGATATTAGCAGAAACATCATAGAACACATTTAAGTCATAAATCATGTGAAGTAAAGGTCTTTGTGTGTGGAAATGCTAATTATCTTGTATTAATAATAACTGTTCTGATTTTACTAGTATATTTATTCTCACATTTCTTTGTCTGAATTTGTTCATTTGAACCAGGAATGCATGCTAGTCTTCTTTGTACCATTCCACTTTTAGTATATGTGCTGCTGAAGCAAGCACCTGACTCAGGAATATAAACAGTTGTAATTCACTTCATAAAACTTTGTTAATATTTTTATGTAGAACATATAAAGATGCATGTGTATAAAAATGGAAAAAGACAAGTATCATTGAATTTTTAGCCATGAAAACCTATGTTTTTATGCCAACACACTATAGTTGTCATATAGATTTTCATTCACAGAAAGAGTGTAGCCAAAGACTGTGCCAAGATAATATTCTCATACTGTCTGTGTATATAATGAAATCACGCAATATGTACAATTCAGTCCACATACACCTTCTTGGAAGCACACAAGAAACAAGTTTTGTTCTGAATAGCCCTGAATCTTAGCTCAAATGGAAAGCTCAAATTAAAATCAAGGACCACCTGCTAGTATGCCCTGTGCTCCTCTTGAGTCTAAGTGTGGGCAGCAGTACTGAGTATTACTCAAAGGGCACATGCAGCGCGGGAATATAGCAGGGTTGCTCTGACTGCCTCTGCACACCCAGGACCAGCATCTTACATGCCCCTGCCATGGGCTTACTATACATAGAGCCACACCTCGTGCAGAGTCAGGAGCCAAAGCTCTGCTAGGAGGGATAAGGGATTGTTCTCCGTTATCTTCTAGATGACGTCTGAGTATGTTTTAGAAAAAGTCAAGCTTGAGGACATAACCTAAAACTCTGATAAGCTTTAGAGTCTGAAAACATAAGACATCATCCTAATTGGATTATTTTACTTGTGTAACAATGAATGAGACTTGTATTTCTTAATTTTCAATGATATTCCATTCCAGGAATTCTAATAAGCTTAAGAGAGTACTGCACATTATTAAAATTACTAGATTTTTATTCCCTAAAACCACACCCTTCTGTCAGTCACAGCATAAGCCTTCTTTGATGGTGATGATAATTTTTTTTAATATTGGAAAAATGTATAATGGACCACCAAATCTCAACAATTTTCCTTGTAGTTACTTTAAAATAATAAGAAAACAGGAGTTTATACTTTTACAACATATTCTCCCACATTAGCCCAGCAACCACTTAATATGTCCTTTATAATTTTTTTCATTATCAATTAGTGTTTCAGAATTGTCCCATAAACCATGTGATCCCTACTGTCAAAGTTTTTAATTAGTCACATTCCTGAAAACCACAGACACATTTATATTGTGTGTTTGGATTTCCCCAAATATTATCTGCAGAATAAGAATAAAGGTAACACTATACATTTATGCTTGAGTGTAAACTCTATTCAGTATAACATCTCAGGTCATTTCTTTGATTAAGCAAAGAAACACATCTCTTTCCAGAACACTTCCTCTTTGCCACCTATAGTTCCCTTTCTTTTGCAAATGGGCAACCAGGACTCTTCCAAGTTGGAGTAATGTTTTGGAATATATGAATGCCTTTTCTGAGTGCGTAATGTTAAGGAAGATTCTCATTGGGCAGATATATTTTCCCAGCTTTAATCATGGAGGATAAGCCACACACTTGCATTTGCTTAGTGCAGAACTACCATCCGGATGTTCCGTGGCTCCTCTATCTATCTTCTAGTGTCTCGTGTCCTGGAACATTCCAAAAGGAGAAAAGATATTTACAGAGGATGACATGCACTGTATTTAATAGAAGTTTCCAGAAATGAGAATCAAATGGAATTGGATTTCCTGAGGCCGCCTGTCAACATTTTAAAGGGGTATCTATAGCAGGACAATGAGATTGCTACTTTGGAAATGAGTCTACATCTTATCTTTGGATCTAGAGAGTTCATCCTTTCCCCAGTCCAAAAAGATTTAGTTTATGAACTATCAAACAAAAGGGGTCTAAACAGCTGACGATCTTACTAAGGGCAAGACTGTTGAAATGCAGTTTTAACTCAAATAATAACAAAGTGATAATTTAGCTCCTGGCTTCTATTAGGCAATGCCCTTTAAGAGAATATTTTTGTTATTTTTAGAATGAATTCTAAAGGGTTTAATCTTTACAGGACATTTGGAAACATTTTTTAGGCCTACCACCCCAGGGAGTCTTGAGGCTAATTTGGAAAAGCTGAGGAATGAAGAGGAGTTAAGCTGATGGTGCTAGGTTATCACAGTGCCATCCAGTCCTTGGTCTCTTAGCTACAAAGCTAAAAAGGAAACCCAGCAACACCATTAAGAGCAACTCTTACTTCCCCTAAAGGTTGTAAAGCAGTTATGACCTATTCTCAAATCTTTGCATGGTCTCCAGGTAGCCATCAGACAACATACCTAGGTAAAAGAAAAACAAAAACACTGAGTTCCATGAATGAAAAAAAACAAACCCAGTAACAATAGCCAAGTAGTGTTGTAATACACCTCTGTTCAGAATCAAAAAGAGTGATGCTTACGGTTGGCACCTGCTTTCAAATGGTATCTCCAGATTGGAAAACTTTAGTCAGGCAGCAGAAGGTAAGCGGTGCTTTCCAATGAGTCAGCAGATCTATATGTAAAATTCAGGATTTTATATCCCAGACATGAACCCCAGCAATTCCTGTTAATGAGAAATAAATGGAGGGAGGGGGGAAGCTGTGCAATTCTAAAGATTCCAAGACTATAACATAGTAAGAGCAACTGCCAGCTTATACACAGCATTTCACAAACTAAGAAGCTCTCCTTCACATGTTGGTTTTCAGCCAGTCTTCATGATAGTGTTGTGAGGAAAATGTCATCTTCATTATACAGGCAAGGAAGTAGCTTTCTACGTTTTTGAATAAAGTGCCTAAAGTCACTCATTAATAACGAAGGAAGCCAGATGTGATGTATGGACATTCTCTTTCCATCCAGCCTGCTTCCTCAGTGCTTGCCCCCACCTCTGCTCTACAAAGCGCCTGTTAGATGAGAGGGAGAGAAGAGGCCAAGATCAAGTCATTCCTCTTTAAAAACTGGGAGAACCTTTTACACCTTGGATGACTCTCGGGGGAATCTTTTCCATGAATCCACACTCCTCAAACATGAATGTCAATGATCATATTACATATGTGTATCATTATATGCATGTATATTACAGCATATCAGAAGATACCCTATAATACTGATAAATGTCTTTAGAATATCAAGGGAAAGTCTACTGAGAACCTTACAGAAGCCTTTTACTGTCCTAATAAAAACCTGACATTGCCACACAAATATGAAATTAAAGCAACTTTGTAGTGGAAGGAAAAGGTATAATCTTCTAGTTAGCAATGCTATCTCTAACTTTCAATATCTTAGAAATCCCATTTTTCAGAGTCATTAAATCATGAGGAAACTTAAGGAAGACACTGCCCTTTCTAAACCTATCTTCTTCAAATTCAGAGAGATTTATAGCTTCCTATAGAAGCTTTCCCTTTTTATCCTTAGTGATTCACCACCTATTGAGAATATCCCAGCCCCTCTTGTCTCTCCAAGACACCATGTGGGGCTGCATAAAAGCATGCATTTATCGATTTTAACGGATAGAAACAGAGTTTTTCTGAAGTCTCTTTCAATTACTAAGACTGATGATGAACTCATTTTGTCACAAAATTGCACCCCTACATCATTTCAGTTTAAATCAATCAATCCTGACTTAAAGGCAAAGTAAAAATAACAATCTAAAAAAGTGACAAAATATAAAGTTGGGTTGGTTATGGTTGTTCCTTTAGGAATTTAACTTCTGTTAAACTTCTGGGAATTAGACCTACACATTTTAGTGTAGTATGCTCCACTGACATGCACATAAAAAACAATTCAGTGTTTACTGTAGTCACATGGAAAATGCAACTGGAGATAGTCTTGTACTGAGGGAGTTGCTGTCCGCCCATCTTGTAAACGTTCATTTGTTCTCATGTTTTCCAAGCTAGAAATAGCCCAAGCAGTCAATGACAAGAGTCAGACTGCCTGAAATTGGAGCTCAGGTGGAAACAGGAATGAACTTGATGGACTTGGAAGACTTGGGTGAGTCTTTCCATGTACCAGTACTATTAGTAGGGCTTCGGTTATTAGAGTAAGAGGTATGTCTTCTGCTCATGCTGTCAGTGTCTTCTTTGTTGAAGTTTTGCTTTATATTTTGGCAGCACGGGAAGCTTTGGACACAGTCTTGCAGAAGATGGCCACTAAAAAACATGTATATCCAAGGGTTGCAGCAACTATTCAAAGAAGCCAGTAGGGCAGTGATGGTGATGGAAGGGTTTTCTGAATCTATGAAAAATATAAAACAACGTTATGTAAGCAGCCAAAGGTAGGTAGCTGATACGGGATAAATTACTTTTTTCAATTAAAGAGGAAAAAGCTTGGGGTTAGCATAGAAAATGAGCTATCTCATTCAACTGTCAGGAACATGGACAGTGTTTGGAAATAAGTTACCTGTGGAATATATTTTTAAAAATCAGGATGCCTTAAAATTAGCTTTAATGCTTTAAAATCACATTATGATATTTAATGAATGGGAATTTCAAGAGGTTCAGACTACTATTAATGATCTGTTAAAAGATCCCATTTCTCTAACACTGGCACTATATGCCTTAGGACAAAACACTTACAGAAATTTCGTAGCATTTGAAAAAAATACAACCATATAAACAATCCTGTGCTAATATTAGTTTCTCAGGCAAAATCAGACATTCGGGGCCATATTTAACAGTAAAGTTTCAAGTCCTGCACATAATCTTATAATATCAAAATATATGGAACATGCAATTGAGGTATACCTAAAAAGATAAAAACTTTGAATGTTTTTCCTCAAATAATTAAAAATTTTTCTTTTAGTTTAAAGAATGTTATTAATCAGGAGAGAGAGAGAGAGAATCTCACGAACTGCTCCCTGGTGGGAGATGGGCTAGGACCACTTACACGTAGCGGGATGACCAGATGACCACGTGAGGAAAATGGCCGCCGTGGCTTTTATACATCTTAGGCATGGGGGAAGGGAGAAGGTGGCCAATGTGGGCTCTGACATTAAAAGTATATCCAGGGGCCCGGCGCCATGGCCTAGCGGCTAAAATCCTCGCCTTGAACGCGCCAAGATCCCATATGGGCACCAGTTCTAATTCCCATGGCCCTGCTCCCCTTCCAGCCCCCTGCTTGTGGCCTGGGAAGGCAGTCGAGAAGGGCCCAAAGCCTTGGAACCCTGCACCCATGTGGGAGACCTGGAAGAGCTCTTGCCTCCTGGCTTTGGATCAGCACAGCACCGGTCGTTGCGGTCGCTTGGGGAGTGAATCATCGGACAGAAGCTCTTTCTCTCTGTCTCTCCTCTCTGTATATGCAACTTTGCAATAAAAATAAATAACTCTTAAAAAAAATGTTAAGGTTTCACAAACCTAACAAACAAGTAGTAGGTCAAGGAGTTTACACTGCATTTTTTCATGCTCACTAATATCATAGCCTAGAACAATATTTATTTATATTAAGTTCATACTGTGATTTTTAAATTTGCAAACACAACTCCCAAAGCATATGAATACATGGTCTTCAAAATTTCATGGGAAATGAGTGTTATGAAAAAACCACACAATTTTTTCATTTTTGCACCAAAGATAAATGTGTCTTTTCATTTCATTTATGTGTAAATTTTTGAAATATCCTTGTATACTCTCAAGAATTAAAGAAGATAACACCTCTCAGATACCTCTTCCTGACAAATATTATCAAACATTCCTGAACACATTTGGCTTAAAAGTTCTTTTTCTTACTAAATAAAAAAAAATGTGTTTAAGATTCAAAATTAAATAATATGCTTTTTTTTTTGGCGGGATGGATAGACTGACCAATGACTGTAAAATATCAGATAAAAGTGTTCAAGTAGTGGCAGAAGAAAAAAAAGTTGCCAGTACTAAAATAGCAAAACTGCGTCCATTTCGCCTCCTTGTTCTTGTAGTGAGTGTCCTTTCACGGCCCAATACATGGATCGCAAGCTTGGCGAAAAGTTTCGCTGGCTTGTGGAAACGTGGCTGACTCCAGCGCAGCCTCGATCTGTGAACTTAGAAGTATCGTATGCGTAGAGAAAGATTCCTGAGCTGCATTGCGGGAACAATGAATAATAACACGGGAATAGGGACCCCAGTAATTTGCTTTAAACATAATAATTTTCTTGCTCACTTAGAAGTTTAAGACCCCTTGTTTCTCTCTTGCCATCCCCCAAGCCTTCCAATGTCCCAGCACCTACCGGTCCAGTTGAAATTCTCATCCCACACCGACCACATCTGGATGATGAAGAAAGGCGCCCAGCAAACGATGTAGGCCGTCACGATCACAAATGTCATCTTCACCGTGCGGATCTTGGCGCGCGAGATGCTCTTCACGCTGCTGACACAGGGAGTGAGCAGCAGCCCCTTGTGGAAGGCGCCGGCCGCCGCGCGCTCCGAGCCCTTGCTCTGGCGCGACGCGGTCTTCCCGCGGACGTTGCTCCAAATGTGGTAACAGATGAAGCCGTAGCAGGTACCTAAGATGACCACGGGTGCCACGAAGATGCCGCTAGTCATCCAGGTCACGTAGGCGCGGGAGCCCCAGGGCTGGATGAAGGTGGCCCAGCAGTCCTGGGCCTTGGTGACATTGTTCACCTCGATCATGGAGAAGATGAAGTACTGCGGTGTGCTAAGCACGAAGCTCAGCACCCAGGAGGCGGCGATCATGAGGCGTGAGCGGCGCGCCGGCTGCTGCAGCGTCTTGAGCGGGTGGCACACCGCGATGTAGCGGTCGGCGGTCATGACCACCAGCATGTAGGCCGACGCGAACATCCCAAACACCTGCAGGTGCTTCACTACGCGGCACAGCCAGTCCGGGCCACGGAAGCGATAGGTGATGTCCCAGCACAACTGCGGCAGCACCTGGAAGAAGGCGACGGCCAGGTCGGCAAGGCTGAGGTGCCGAATGAAGAGGTGCATGCGGGACGTCTTGCGTGGCGTGCGGTGCAGTGCCAGCAGCACGCTGGTGTTGCCCAGCACGGCCACCACGAAAGTCACGGCCAGCACCGCGATCTCCAGCTTGGCCAGCTCCTCGTTGCGCAAGTCCGCCTGCGGCTCGCGTCCTCTCCCGGGCTCGCCGGCCTCGTGGCTGCTGTTAGCACCGCTGGCGCCCAGGGGCCACCAGGGGCTGAAGTTACCTGCGGGTTCCACGTGGGAGCCTCCAGAAAACCGCATACTATCCATGCAGTGCCTGCTAGGCTTTCCTTAGACGGCTGGACTCTCGTGGGGAGCTGCCGCCTCACCTGCAAGAACTTGGGCTCCCGGCCCCTAGTGCGCTTTCCGCAGGGTTTGAGGATCGGTGCTCAGCGTCTCCGCTTCCAGAGCCCCTCCTGCAGAGCCAGCAAGGTCTCGGGCTGAAGAGCCACCTCACGCACTGCTCCAGCTCGGGAGAAAGCTCAAGTGGTGCGCTCCAAACCGGGCTGCGAATTGAGTTGCTAATGTGGGGTCCGTTTCCTCGGGAGGCGCTGCCGATCGTCCTAGCGGCTGACAACTGTCGGGAGTCCAAGTCCCTGCTCCTCGCCGGTGGCTCCCGCCCCTTCCCCTACGTGGGTGGCTTGTCCTTCCTGCTTCACGGCTGCAGAGGTGGAACTGGAAGACTCGCTGATCCCAGGGCGTCAAAGGCAGGGTCGTGGCGCTTTCCCAGTCTTGGAAAACTGGGCGTGCGTTCCCTCGCTGACCCACTGAACTGGTGGTCCTCAAGCCTCTCTCCTTAGCCCCATTAACCTTGCACTCGACTTCAACCCGCGTTGTAAACAGAAAACTTAGAAAGCTAAGGTCCGCACCCCCTACGCACCTGCACTGGACTTGGAGCCCTCCCGCTCCTCCTCCCGACGAGGGCAAGTGCCTCCCGGCTCAGCCAGTGAAATTCATCTTCCCCTTGGGGACAGCTTTGCTCAGGGACTTGCATCACTCGTAGCCCCACATCTCCGCCGACCCGTCTTTCGTGGTAGGAGCTGCGTGATTTGGCTGCTAGCCTTTGCTTAGGTCGCCCACTCACGACCTCGGCCCCTGTGGCCCGAACAGTTGCTGCTGCTGGGCACCTATGGGACAACCGGGACAAGAAACACTTCTTGGTTTTCCAGTTTCCCTATGGGGCCGGAGACTTTTGGATTTCTCTTTTGACCATATTTCCTAGGATTTTCTTTAGGAAAGCCTGAGAATGCGGCCACGGTAGCCCGTGGAGTATTTTGATTACTGTTGAACGTGGGGAATCTCTTCTAGCGGACGGAAGAGGCGCTGGCAGCGGCAAGTTAGGCGGTGCTGTCTGCGGCTGGGGAAAGTCCGCCAGGCTCCTGCGCTGGGCTGTGAGAAGAGCCAGTCTCCAGGTAGGAAAAAGGAGCGCAGAAGTGAGAGAGAAAGCGCAACAGCTCTGTATATTGACTTTGGACCCCTGGAGCCCAGCCGCGCAGGGGGGAACCGGCGCAAAATCTACTTTCCAGATCCAGCCAAGCTGGAAATGTGTTTGAAAGGCAGCAAGGGGGCGCTGCTTTAAACCCATTGTGCAGGAAAGAAAAGAAATCGGAAACGAAAAGGAAAATTAGAAGATGAACAATTATGTTAGAACATTTATATATTGTGGCCATTGCATAAATTTGATTGTCTCAGAAAAAAATTGTGAAATATGTGAAATATGATACCCCACAATAAAGATGTTTCTTGGGACAGTCAATGATAATTCTTTAGGTCATTCCGTTTATGCAGGCAGAATCCCCAAGACTATCACATTTAGAGTGCTGGGCTCCACATTTGCAATTCTGGTTCATTGTGTCTGCGTGAGCCTCAGCCTGTGCATTTGAGAAATGGGGAGAGAATCAAGTCACACAATGCTTTGCACAGGTAAAGGGCTCTGAAAACTGGAAACTGTCTTTTTTTGGCTCATTTCTCCAAGAGACTAAGAAGCAAAAATTAAAATGGTTCAGTGAGGTAATGAGTAAAAGGTTTTTCCAGACCACCTGTATGGAAAAATCCTTCAAGCAATTAGGTAATAACCATTGGCTTGGAGCAGTGACCTTTTTAAAGTCATAAATTCTATAATTAGTGCTCCTTATAAAAATATAATGTTGACTGACCCCAGTTTCCCTGGGCATGGCAGAAAACTGGGCAGAGCCTGGCAACATCATGGCTCTTGACCATGCATTCTTGAACTTTTAGGTTTCCTTGGGGGCCAAAATCTGCAATGCAGGCTCACCAATGTTCCCTTGAGTGTGATTCCTGAGGGATGGTGGGTAACCTTGCTGGAAATCATTCGCCCGTGTCAGGAAATCCAATTCAATAATGAAATTACATGTATAAAGATCACCTGTTAGCTTAAACCAGTAAATATGATTATTTACCCATTTATGAAAATGTCAAGCATATACCTCTGATCACATATGGGTGTAGTATCTAATCAATCGTCAATCTATACATATTTCTATTATTTCAATTGTATAATAGACCATATTGACAATTTTTTTTTGTATGATCAAATACATTGAAGTGTTGGGCACATATCCTACCCTTTCCAAGCAAGTTTTGCATATAAAGGATGTGATTCATTGCAAAATTATATCTGTTTCACTTTTTAATCAATGTTTCCCAAAGTTGTTTGACCATGGAACTCTCCTATCCTTTTTCCTCTCCCATGGAAAGTGACGAATATAACAAAGGTCAAGGCACACAGCTGGGTAGCACTGAATGAAGGACCCTGGCGTCTGGGAGTGTGAAGGACCATCACAGGACTTAATCTGGCTGAGAAGTTGGAGGGTCAAGCCAAGGCTCACCTACTCTCTCTGGTGTTGTGAAGTGCAAAGAAATGGAGGACATTTAGTTATGTTACCTTATCTATCTTCAAAGATGCTACCCAGAATATCCTACTTATTCTCTTCAGGTTTCTTCCCTTTGCTTACTAGAGATAATTTTAAAATTGTTCATCCTATCCCTAGATTCCACAGATAATCAGTTTTGTCTGCTGAAATGCCTTTCCAGGCCTTTTCAGTATGCATATGCATATTTGATTAAACTTAGACCACAATATCTAGGATATTGTTGTCTGACTCTTGAAATTAACAACATAATGTGGTTATTATTATCAAAAGTTTACTTGAGATGCAGAAAGAGAGAAGAAGAGAGAGAGAGAGAGAGAACCTGTCTGCTGGTTTCCCCCACTCCATATTGAAGCTGGGCCAATCCAGAGTTGGGAATTCATTCCGTGTCTCCCACGTAGGTGACAGGATCCCAGTTACTGGAATCATCATCTCTGTATCTCAGGGCAGAATTTGGGACTGACCCCAGATGCAGGCTGCTGCCTAGGAAGCCTGGTACCTAGACAAGTATTAAATGTGGGAGAAAAACTGGTGGGTATTCTGGGCCTGGTCCATGCCACTTTCTGTTCACTGTAGGAGTGTGCCTGCTCAGTTGCTGCTGCTGCTGCTGCTTCTCCTTCTCATCCTTCTCCTTCCTCTCCTCCTCCTGTTGCACTTGTGGGATCTGGAGCTGGGGCACTCCTCCTAGGGGAACTTGCACAGCTCTCCTGCTAGTCTGCAGATCCCTCTGGCGAGCACAAGAGCTGGGACTGAGGCTAGGTGTGGAAAGGCTGCAGCACTTGTCCGCATTTGTGTGGGCTGGGTCTAGGGACAGGCTAGGGCTAACCAGGCCTTAGCAAAACCACTGGCAAGCACGAAAACAAGGAGAAAGTATGGGTCACTCATGGCTGGGTTTGGCTGCAACATCCACCAGAAAGAACTGGTGTATATAGAAGTCAAGTCTGAGGGTTAGGTTTCTTGGCGGAATCTTTGATTGGATTGCTGGACTTGGACCCAGGCCACAGGGAGAATCACAGGGTGTGTTGTCTGACCTTGGAGAGTATGCATTGAGACTGGGCCTCCTCAGCTGCTGATGCTTGTGCATTCCCAGATGCACACGGAGGGCGCTTTGGCCAACTCATCTAGACCTGCAGGGAATGTCAACTGCCTCTTCAGAGGATAAAAAGCAGAGCATGTTGGGTGATTCTCTTGATCAACCTTTGAAGCATGTTCCTCGGTCTGTGGATGCACTAAGGCAGATCAATCAGCAGAACTTGGGACCCTGGAACAATTGTCTCAACCCTGAAGCAGCAAATTGACAACATCTCAGGGCTGTCAAAAAATCACTCAGGTCACACCGTTGGAATACAATCCCCAATATTGGGATTCTCTGGGACATTATCAAAGAACTGTCCCCCCATCCCTGGGTGCTGATGTAATTTGACAGCAAAGAGAGACCCTTGCCCCTTCCTTCCCTGCAGACACAGGAGAAAAAAAATACTAGAAAATGTGTCCCACCCACCTTCTTCCAGATTTGACTCCCCCCACCTTAATCAGAGGCCCACATGGGTGTGCACCCCTCTGAGCTGTGTAAATAGTATTAAAAATAAAATTTAAAAATTGGGACTGAAATCCAAGCGTTGTGCTATGGGTTGTGGGTGTCCCGAATGGCATCTTAGCTGTCACACCAAATGCTGTGTCTGTGAATATTCTCCATCATCAGCTTCATGGATTCATGGTTTCTGTCCTACTGATGCAACTTAATTTCTATTCTTTCTTACTATGTTTTTCTGGGGGGAATTTTTGACCTCCTAGATTCTCTTCCCTCTCCTTTTTGCACAATATCTCCTATAGACAGCTGCTTATGTTACACTCAAGTTTATTTTCTGAAGTTCAATAACTGGCAGCAAAAGTATAAGAATTTGATTTCATCATCATCGTAATATATCCAAATCAAAGCCTAATTAGTGCATGAGAATATCCATTTCCCACAGATTTATGAATATAAAATGTCCTTAATAAAAAATCTTCCCAAATTTGATAAGTATCCAATTTAGTGAAATAGAAATATTTGTGTCTAATTTGTGTCTAATGACCTCATTATGTACTTGATTAATAATAAGCCTAAACATGTTTATAAATGTGTCTTATCCAACTAACATTTCTTCTTTAATGAACTAGATATTCATATCTCGGTGTATATATATTATAACATTCCTAGTTTTCTTTTTGACTGAGAAGTTCTCTGTATTTTGTGAAATTTTCTTCATACATCTTTTGTCTTTTCATTAATTTTCCTTTAAATTTAGTTCATATTTCATTTTTGGTGAGATTGAGTGTATTTCCAATTATTTCTAACTTTTTAATTTATTTTTTGTATACTGCTTATTCATATCTTTTAATTCATTTGTTGTTC